TTCGTAATTTTTTTTTCGCCAATTTATATTTATACATAGTTAGACTGTACATTTATTTATCTCAGAATATTTTCTGTTAAATATTTAAAATTATATGTTGGCAACAAATTAACTAAAATTGGTTATTTATATTTGTTGACTTAGCTTTGAAAAAACATCCGGCTTACTGACAACATGTTAATCTCAAAATTGAGTTTTTAATTTACTAAATACGGAGAACAAACGTACTTACATTATTTGAATTTTGTAGGAATAACGTGTTGGTGGTAATATTCCATGTCTGTGACACTTCAATATGCATGTTTCTGGTCACGTTAGAATTTTTTCTCTGGCCATGAATTTGTTTGTTGTCCCGTGAGATGGAGATACGGATCCTCCTTCGCATCCTCCTTTAACTGTCCGTACTTTGTCCTCGATAGGAAAAAGATAGGTAGCGAATAATTGATTGACACGTGTTTTTTCTTTTTGGTTATGATAGTGTAATACATCAGCTTGTACACATTTAATTGCCTAGTCTTCATACAGAGTCCAGACTCTTGTGATCTTGTCCCAAAGAGTGCCTACACAAGAAATTAGAGAATATCAGTTTTAGTTTTAGTTTTCGTTTAGAAAATATGTAGAGCCAAATATGTGAAAGGAATTGATTTTATATCAACTAAATATAATTCATAAAAAAAATTTTTTTTAAAAAATTCATGCTTAGTTTAAAATACGTTATTCACTTAGCATTTTAGTATTTATGTTTTTCTTTCTTTGAATTATATAGTTGAACAGATACAATTATGTAGTAGTAAAAAATACATAGTTTTTTTTTCTGTTCTGTGCTTACTAAAATAGACATAGCTTTCACAAAAAGAAAAGCTATTCATTTAAACAAGTTGACAAAGAAATAAAACAAATTTTCCAAATAAATTATAATACAAGGTAAAAATTTTGATCAATAGACCTGACACGTTTCACAGTTATATTACATCGTGACACGTGTCTTTTTAATATATATTTTTAAAAAATTTTAATTCTTTTTTTAATACTTTGAAATTTACTGTATTATTTTTATATATCTTTTTAAAAAATTTAATAGTAATCCTTTTTATTTTAGGATTTGTAAAATATACTTTTTTTACTATAACTTTTTTTTTTGACTTGCAGAGAAATCTCTACTTGATAGAATTGACACTTGCCCTCATTATATGAGTTGGTAACTTTAAAACCAAGCTTTATAGTAATTATTATAACTGTAATTCTTTTTATTTTACTATTAGTAAATTACTATATATTGTAATACTTTTAGTTTAGGATTTTTTGATTTATTGTATAATATCCTTTTTATTAATATATTCTTATATACCTTTTTAAAAAATCGTAATCCTTTTTACTTTTAGGATTTCTAATATTATTATATAATTTTTTTTTTAAGATTTGTAGTTATATTATTATAATTTTTACACATGTTAAAATCCGATCAATAGACCTGACATGTGTCACGATCATGCGAGTTAATAAAATTGATATATTTTCAAATCATATGGCCACATCCTAATAGATATGTTTTAGTCATGCTTAGTGGAGTTTCTTCTTCACCAGTTTGTCCGAGTTCTATAAGATTTGAAGTTATGAGTTTTGTTTAAAGTATTTAGAATTCGACTTAAGGATTCCAAATGATGAAACTCTTGCCGCTTTGGCTCCATGATACAATTTTATCCGACGAGGGATCATCCACCATCTCATATGCTTTGGTTAGGAAAGAATGTTGTTCGTTTGGATAACACCTATTAGGTTGCAACTGATCCTCTACTTCTTTAACTTGCATGGTAAATAAACGTTCCGCCTTTATCATATCCATTTTTCGGTCTAGCTGATCCCTTTCTTCTATCATGAAGCTTATAATGTTGTTTATGAGGTGAGGTTGATCTCGCACAAAATTATCATTTGCGAAGTCCCATTTTCTAGAGTCGATTTTTCTAAAGCACTAGCAAAAAAAAAATTCAGAGTTTAAAGACAATAAAACTATCTTACAGAATATGATGACAACTTACAAAAATAAACGTATCAGCAACTTACATGTATTTCAAGGTTAAAGAAGAATAAATCTAAACTGTTGGTCTTGAAGAATCTTTGTAGGAGATTGCTGGAAAACTCTTCCGGATTCCAAATGATGAAACTCTTGCCGCTCTGACTCCACGAGATTATTGAATATGATGAAAGATCATCGACCATAACATATGTTGTGGTGATGAAAGATAGTGAGGTTGATGAGTCTCCTTTTTCATTCATGTCTAACATTTCGAACATATTATCCCGAACACACCCAAACATGTCTTTATATATAAACACAATTCACAAATACTTAGAGCAAGATAGCTCCAAAAAATTAAATATGTTACCTAAATAAAGTGATTTTCTTCTATAAAATGTCACATTATTATATCTTGTATATTACAGAAATATAATTAACAAAGATATATAAGAAATTTAAATTTGGGTATATTTAGATTCTTACTAAGACATATTGAAATTTTGATAAGATATTTATTTATTAAAATATATTTATTTAGGTAAATAATCTAAGAATTTATTAGTTAAACATTTTTATTAATAACAAAGTAATTTAGTTATAGCTTCAAAATGAAAATTTTATCATTAAAAATTTCATTTAGAGTTACTTTTATTATTATTATTATTATTTTTATACTATACTACCATATTCCATGTGGTGGTGATGGAAGATGAAAAATGACAGTGAGGTTGATGAACCTGAAATGCTAGCGTGGCATTATCATTCATGTCTACCGTTTCTAACCTGAAATACCGAACACTCTTGAAACTAGAATCTTCTGTATTGTGTTGCGACTCTTGTGAAGTTACATGTCTATGTTCTCAGAATTAATTAATATTTAGGGTAAAATAGGTCAAAAATATCATATATTTGGAGAAGTTTGTTGTTCGTAGGTACGAGGATTGCTTAGCGTCTCATTAGTACACATGATCTGTTTAATCATGGCAATAATAATGACTCTCATCATTCCAGGCCGAATCCCTCCCACCCAGAGAAACCTATATATATGCGGAAAAAAGATACTCAGCTACACGAATTATAACGGAATACATGGCTACACATGCCAAATTTAAAAATGTACAACCAACTACACGAACTAAATGTATTGCATGCCCACATATACCAACTATATGACGACATGTAGTCAACATCACGAATATCTTATTCTGGTATACTAATCATCGAAATCCGGCGTTGACCATCGTTGACCGGTATTGACCAACAAAAATATTCAATTTTTTTTTTATATTTTAATATTAAAAACAAAAACAAAAAATTATTCTATTAAATCTTTTATTGTATTGTATAATTAAAGAGGAAAATACATTCTATATAGTATATTCAACTTAAATAAATTTTGTATATATATTTATGAAATTGATTATTATAATTAGTTAGTTTTTTCAATTTCAAAACTAAAATAAAAGTGAAATAAAAATAATTAAGCGAATTCCTTATTTTTACATTGTCAATAAAAACATTAACTTCTTATTTTATAAATGTTTTTGCTAAAATCAATATCGTTAGATTTTTTATTTGCTATATATTAAAAAAAAACAAATTACGACCTTTTTTGTTATTTATCCGTTATTACGAATTTTTTTAAAATAATTTTAATTACATAAATTAATAATATATTAAAGTTGGACTAAAGAGTATGTAAAATTTTCTATGTTTTTAACTATGTATTATGATTTTGATTTTAGCAAAAAAACTTAATATTTTTTAAACATGCAAACTTTAGATTAAAGAGTCATATACTCAATTTTTCTAAAAAGAATAATAAAATTTATTTCATTTCACTTTTAGTTTAGTTTTGAAGTTAAAAAAATTAACTAATTATTAAAATCACTACCGGTCAATACTAAAAAAATTAACTAATTACTAAAATTTTTTTTTGAATATTTACTAAAAAAATTAACTAATTACTAAAATTTTTTTTGAATATATTTGCTGGTCAATGCCGGTCAATACCGGTCAACAATGGTCAACGCCGGATTTCGTTGATTAGTATACCGGAATAAATGTTTGTGATGTTAAGCACATGTCGTCATATAGTTGGTATATGTGGGCATGCAATACATTTAGTTCGTGTAGTTGGTTGTACATTTAGTTCGTATTCAGTATTAAGTTTTATTTTATTTTTGTGTTGATGAATGGATAAGGATAAATTATATTTTCTTTAAGTATTGGAGTCTTTCTAAATCACAATTGTGTTATCTTTGTAGGTGTTTTAAGTAAGGTCCTAATCGATTTGTTGTTATTCATTATTGGTTTTGATAAAATCTAATAGAAACCAAGTTTTTTTTAGGAAACTCAAGTTATAAAGCCTCTTGTCGAACTCAATCTTCATTGAATTCAACAAGATAAGAGCTCGTCGTTGAGGTTTCTTGGAGATCTCTTTGCCGCGCTTGTTTATCGCTTTGGCATCTCTATCACTCTTTAATTATGCTCATCATTCAACTGTGTATTTAATATTTTGATATTACTTATCATCGTCAGATATGCACTTATCACAATTGTCATTTGTTAGCAACGTTCTTCATTGGTTAAATCTTCACAAAAAATAAGTTTTTCCATCGGTTTCATTTCTCGGATTGCGGATGATTTTTTTTTCTTTTCAAACAGTCAAATCAAAATAAATTATAAATTATAATAAAACGCCGCTCGATTACCTACGGACCTCCCTCGGCAACAGATAGACGAACAACATGCACGGTCCAGCAGGCCAATCAAGCACATGATCCCAACCAACCTATATTTTCTAATATCTTAAAATTTTTATAATTTAATATAGATACACATAATTAAATAAATAGAAAAACTAACAAATTTATAATAAAATATACATTTGTAGTCTCATATAATTTTCTCATCTTCTCAATACACCTAGGAAAGTGTCTGCCAAACGGTTTGGACATAAATTTGGGTTTGGATTGGTTTGGTTGGTTCGATTTGAATTGGGTCGGTTCGGTTATATTTCTCTCCTAGTGCCTAGTTTATAGCTAAGCGGTTAGCTTCTTGTTTCACCGATACACTTGTTAAAAGATCCAAGGATATGTCTAGGGGTTCGAACGAGGCTGGTGATTCGTCCGAGTTCGTTTATCCACCGCTGAAGAAGCCCAAGGAAAATCCGGTTCCGGAGGCGGAGGCGAAGGCGAAGGTGGATGCGAAGGTGGATGTAAGAATGCGAATTCTCCGCAAAGGAGACTGGGACGATCCGGAATATAAGAGACAGCGAGATATTTTTGAGGAGCAATTTGAATCGAGCGAGGTAATTTTTTTTATTACATTCTCTTATGGATTTGTATGTACCCACCAAATTTTTTTGTCTGGTAATGATCTTTAGAATCAGATGTTCAATTTTGTATGGTACTTAATTTTATTTATATGCATTTTTAGGGTTACGATGTTGATTGGGATAATTTGGACTTCAACTTCCCTGCCGTCAGATTCGAATGGGCATCAGGTCTATCAGCTCGACATACTAATATTGAGTTACTCAATCTGCTCATAGAGACAGCCATTGACGAAGAAAACGAAGAAACTGGAACAAAACTTGAGTTTGTCAAGTATGTGAGTGCAAATGTACTTGGCGTCCAAGGTTTTCTGTTTTACATAACATTTTGGGCAAAGGATCTTTCCTCACCAGTTCCAGAGCCAAAATTGTACCAAGCAAAGGTGCGGAAGTTTGCGGATGAGATCGATGTTAGTGAATTCAGGTTAAGGCCAACACAAGAATGATCAATGGTGAGGTACACTTTTCATATGATTGAGTTGATTTTGCTTCTTGAGTTGAATCTATTGTAAGCCATGACTTGTGAGTTATGTCGCTCATACAGGTGATAACTACTTCAACTCCGTGGGCTTCTCCAGTACTTAGATCTCGAACATTTTACTTTTCAAGTAACTTAATGTCATGTTATGCCCTTATTATCTAATAATGTATCTATACTTTTATGTAGCTGGTCTTTACAAAATTATACGGTTCTATTTAAGTTCGGTTATTGAAATCCTGAGACGACAAAATGCATAAAATTTGCGATATTGATAGAAATGTAACTGATGAATGGGTTTAATAATGTTCTTGCCTTCTTGGGAACTGGGATGATGATGGACAGAATCTTGTGTCGTAATATGAGATGAAGCCATTCGTGTTCAAGATAAAAAGTCTACCTCACCATGATCATTCTTTTGTTGGCTTTAGCCTGAACTCACTAACCAACTCATCCATAAAGTTCCACACCTTTGTTTGGTAACATATTGGCTCTGGATTAGTCTTTTGCGATGCACCGAAGTTGAAATTAGTCTTTTAGTGTCATGATTTAAAACTTTTTTTTGTCATGGACCAATTACATAGGTTATGCAATTTGTAAAACCTAAGAATTTCATTTACTGAAATGATATTTACGTTTTTAGCAATAACGACCCCCTTTAGTTTTCTATTTCCTACAATTGTGTAAATATTCTTTGTTTATTACAATATATGACTATAGTAAAATCAACCTTATGTATTTTCTTTATTAAAACAAGCATTCTTTGATTTCATTAATTATATTTTTTTAATAAATCAAAGTTAGCTTATATCATCAAACAATTTTACAAATTACCACAATTTTTAGTTATATAATTGTAATCAAATTTTATTAACTCAAAACATATGATTAATTAAGATAGTCTTGAGATACTGAGATGAATATGCATTAATGTGTGAAAACAAATTGAGAGTCCAGCAGACGCCGAATATGTGTCAAGAGTGGAGGAGAATCTCAAACGCCAGCATTTAGGTCTTTCTACCTAATTTTACCATTCATGATTATTTACACTATACATATTTTGTAAATGCTAGTTGTTAATGAAATCAGAAAAGAAAAAAATAATTATTGTGTGATATGAAAAATACTCTCATTAAATGTGACTTGTAATTATTTTATCTAGTAGTAACACAATTTCGAATATGAATATTTACTTAATTTATTGTTGGTTATATTCTCATCTTCTCTATTCAATATTTATCACGTTTCATTTTATTTTTTAATTACCTATATATGTGATTTTTAATAATTTTATAGTTTTGTTTGAACAGAAAATTTACAAATTAACAAAAATAATACTATTATATTCTATTTTGCAGTTGAAAATGTAGTATTTATTGGAGAAGATATCGATATTCCTCAAAAATAATGCTTGGAGGAAGAAATAGAAATGGATTTACAGTGACGTTGCACTAGAATATGATCCAGGAATGGAGAAAGACCGATCAAAAGATCCCTTTGTCAATTTTCGAGTAATAAACTTTTCTATGAGTTTTATTTAATTTTCATAGTTAGCCTCATTTGAGGTTTTGTTCATGAAGCATCTATAGTATGTGGTCGTCTGGACCATAAGAATTTGCAATATTTATGGCCATATTAACCAGAAAACAAAACCTAGAAACATGCATATATCATTTACCCGTTTTACATTTGTTTCCTATTTGCTGCATTGGTTTCGATTCATTTTTCTAACAATAATTAACTTCGTTGTGATAATTTCGTTATTATAAATTGAAAAAAAAAGTACCACGGTGAAGGTCTTAATTAGCTAAACTAATTATTTCGATGGCTTAGAAATTTAGAAAGGAAGAGTTTATATAGAAAAAAGCATAAGAAATATAGAATCATATGGTGTGATTAGCATGTATATATTAGTTAGTAATTGTGTATTCCATGGTTTAGCTTCGATACATTAAGTTCTACAGAAGTAAAATGTTCCAAATAAAGAAGAGTCTTCTCACTGCAAGCGCACAGAGTTGGAAGTGACCATCACCTGTACACATGCACAAAAATAAGATATTCAATAAGGTACGACCCAACTGATAAAACTCACAAAGGAAGGATTTCTGCGGAATTGCTATTTGACTCAATCTCAATGAAACACTCAAAGCAAAGATAAGACGTGTACCTCACAATTGATCATTCTTGTGTTGGCCTTAGCCTGAACTCACTAACGTCGATCTCACCCATAAACTTCCTCACTTTTGCTTGGTAACATTGTGGCTCTGGATTTGGTGAGGAAAGATCTTTTGCCCAAAATGTTATGTAAAACAAAAAACCTTGGACGCCAAGTACATTTGCACTCACATACTTGACGAACTCAAGTTTTGTTCCGGTTTCTTCGTTTTCTTCGTCAATGGCAGTCTTTATGAGCTGTTTCATTAACTCCTCATTGCTCATCTGATCATCAAAATCACTTCCCCAATCGAAATTGACGGCAGGGAAGTTGTAGTCAACTTTACTCCAATCAACATCGTAACCCTAAAATCATAAACAAGATGATGCATACAAATTACACCACAAACAAAATTGAAACTGAGTCTGCATAAACACTAGATCAAAGGCTAGGGAATATATATATTACCTCGCTGTTTTTAAATTGCTCCTCAAAGATCATTCGCTGTTTCGCATATTCCGGATCGTCCCAGTTTCCTCTGCGGAGAATTCGCTTTTCTGGTTTTACCTCTGCATCCACCTTCGCCTCCGTATCTGTCTTCTGCTTCTTCTGTGGCGGAGAAACGAACTCTGTCGAATCTCCAAACTTGGTGATATCGGAATCACCAGCCTCGTTTGAAACCCTAAACATTTCCCTTTTTCTTCCCGTGTTGAGGAAGATGATAAAATGATATTAAGACTACAAATTATATCAAATTATGTGTATAAATATTAAATTATGAAAGCTGTTGATAAATATATATATATATATATATATATATATATATATTAAATTATGATAACTTTTGGATATTGGGTCCAATTATATATGATATATATCCCAAAAGATTAGATTTGTTCAATTTTTTCATGGTAGATTTAAAATATGATTTTCCCTTTTTTTAGCTTTTTTCTGTAAAAAGGTTTCTTAAATTTATAATGAAAGAATTAAATTATTTATCCCACAATATTAGTTTTTTTTTTTATATATATATTTAATTCATAGTAGATTTGAAATAATATATTCTCCTATTATATTTTATTCTATAAAAGTTCCTTACAATTATGATAAAAGAATTATCCCAAAAGATTAGTTTGATAAGTTTTTGCATGGTAAATTTTATACTAATATTTTTCCCTCCCTAGCATATTCTGAGTAAATGTTTCTTAAAATCATAATGAAAGAATTAAACTATTTTTTGGCACTCTATAAAAGTTAGGTACTTCTAAATAAACAAAAGAATAAAATAAAAATTGGGTGTTTGAATTGCATATTTTCAACGGCTGATAATATATTAAAAAAAAAAAAAAGTTAGTCTGTTCAAGACGATAGGCACCTTCTAGTTTTCAGCTACACCAAAATTTGATTTCTAGGGTTTCGACCATGGCTGGTGATGCTGATGCCTTCCATTCCCTAGACTCGACGGAGCTCGATTCTCAACTACCAATGGAGACAAAGGAAGATACAGAGACAGAGGCAGAGACTATGACAGAGGCACCACCAGGTTTCTTTTTCGCCGGCGAGAGACTTCTCCCACTAGGCAGCTCAAAGGATCCTGAGTATATTAGACAGTGCGATATTTTCTACGATCAATTTCAAAAAAGCGAGGTACTTAAAACTTTAATTTAGGGTTTATGTTGCTGTCAATCGTGCCATTCAATTTATTAGTTTCATGGTCCTCCTTAATTTGTTTGTATACAATCGGATTCATAAGTTTTCTAGTCTATAACTCATGATTGTTTTTAGCAAAAAAAAAAAAAAACACATGATTGAGAGTTCTTGATTCTGAATTTTTTTTTGTTTTTGAAGGGTTTTGATGTGGACTGGGACAATTTGGGATACAAGTTTGTCAAATTAGGTTTGAGAGAATTATGAATGATCTTATTAGGCTCGTAGGCCAAGTATTTATACAAGACTTTGAGCTTATCCTAGAAGGAAATATAACTAATTGTAATTATCAACAAAGGAAAATATCCTTATTCCTAATACCCCCCTCAAGTTGGAGCGTGGAGATTATGAACGCCCAACTTGAACAAGAAGCTTTCAAATTCCATGCGGCCAAGAGCTTTTGTAAAGATATCTGCCATTTGATCCGTGGTGGAGACATGAGCAGGACGAATAACACCTTTGACTATCTCATCGCGACGAAATGTAGATCAACTTCAATATGTTTCGTGCGTTCATGAAAGACCGGATTAGAACTTATGTGAATCGCAGCCTTGTTGTCACATAGAACTGTCATAGGTCCTTTATGAGGCAGACCAAATTCGATGAGTATAGAACGAAACCATAGAAGTTCTTGAGTAAGTGCAGCCATGGCCCTGTATTCAGCTTCAGCAGATGATCGAGAAACCGTGTCTTGCTTCTTTGTTTTTCATGAGATTAGTGAAGTGCCAAGCTGAACCATCCAACCGGTAAGAGACCGTCGCGTTAAAGGGCAAGACGCATAGTCTGAATCACACCAACCAGTAATATGAAGAGGAGTTGTTGCATCGAGAACGATACCTTGACCAAGAGTTCCTTTCAAATATCGAACCACTTTGAGAGCTGCAGCCCAATGATCTTCGCGAGGAGAATGCATATATTGAGAGAGAATGTGTACCGCATATGTAAGATCCGGTCGAGTGGCAGCGAGATAAATAAGACGACCAACTAAGCGACGGTAACGTTCACGATCAGGGAGAAACGAACTAGTCGAGAGACTTAAGCGATGATTCTGATCCATTGGATACCCGGCCGGATGACATCCGAGAAGACCAGCTTCGGCAGCGATCTCACTTGCATATTTTCGTTGACAAATGTAGAAACCGGAAGGACTTCTAGCAACTTCCAATCCGAGAAAATATTTGAGTGTACCAAGATCTTTCATGTGAAAGCAGGTAGAGAGATAATCCTTGAAGGCAGTGAGAGCTGGAGTTGAGTTACACGAAATGATGAGATCGTCAACGTATACCAAAATGCGTAAGATGACACCATCCTTTTTTGTAATAGAAAAAAGAATAATCGGATTTGGCATGCGTGAACCCGTAAGTGCAAAGAGCATCAGACAATTTCGAAAACCAGCATCTCGGAGCTTGCTTGAGACCATAAAGAGACTTCTTTAAGCGACACACACGTTATCACCAGGCGTAGAAAACCCGGGAGGAAGCTTCATATAAACCTCTTCTTCTAGATCACCATGAAGGAAAGCATTGTGAACATCCATTTGATGAACCTCATGATTTTGTTTAGCAGCAATGTCAAGAAATAAGCGAACAGTAGTCATCTTAGCCACATGAGCGAAGGTATCGGTGTAATCAAGCCCTTCTTTTTTATTATTCCCAAGAGCGACAAGCCGAGCTTTGTACCTTTCAAGAGTACCATCAGATTTCTATTTGATTCGATAAATCCATTTAGAGCCAATTGCTGTTTTCTCGGAAGGTAAATCTTCTAATGTTAAGTTTCATGGGCTTCCAACTCAAAACCAATTGGCATGCAATGAGTGGATTGGCCCAAGTCCCTTATATACTACTCAAGTCCCTTCCCATCTTTCCAATGTGGGATCTTTCTCCACACGCCCCCTCGAGATAATGGCTCTTCTAGCCATTAATCTCGACAGAATCCATCACGCCCCATCGAGATAATGCTCTTCTAGCTATCTCGACAGAATTGAGCCTTCCTTTAGGCTATCAATTAGTGGGGGTGATCGGGCCACTTTCCGGGCTGGATTAATGGGTCAGCGTATGGATCGGGCTCTGATACCATGTCAAATTAGGTTTGAGAGAATTCTGAATGATCTTATTAGGCTCGTAGGCCAAGTATTTATACAAGAGTTTGAGCTTATCCTAGAAGGAAATATAACTAATTGTAATTATCAACAAAGGAAAATATCCTTATTCCTAATAAAGTTCTTTGCCATCAATTTTGACTGGGAACAACATTTTGATCCGCATCAGAGCAAGGAGGAGTTACTCAAACAGCTCACACAGGCAGCCATTGATGAATACAACGATGAAAATGTCAGAGCTTGGTTAGTTCTCCCTAATGTTCTAGACTTCTAGTCCTCTGCTTTTCTAAATAGTTTTCTCTTCTCTATTCCAGGGAACTGAAATCGAGTTTGTGGAGCATGTGAGTGCAAATACAACACCTTGTGCGGGTATAATGTATTATATAACATTTTGGGCAAAAGCTGTTTCGTCACCAGATTTAGAGCCTAAACGTTACCAAGCAAAGGTGCGGAAATTTGGTGATGATATTTATGTCGATATGGTGAGGCTGAGGCCGACTCAAGACTGATTGTTGGTGAGGTATACTCTTCACTCAAAACTTATATATGGCTTTATCTTTCTAGTTTGTTTGTTGAACATCATTATCAAATGATCAATTTTGTTTCAGAATTCTCTCTCTTTGGTGGGTACATGTGACTCTTAACTCCATGGCCTTCACTTTCGAGGAGTCTTTGTTTAATATTCTGAAATTACTTTATTAGATCAGATGTCATGTAATAGTGTTTGTATTTATGCTTTGTAAACGTAACATGTTTATCCGCACGGTGAGTCAATACAAGGGCAAAAAAATAGTTACTCTCCGCACACTATAAATACATCTCAGGATCCATATGATTTGCTCTTTGAAAAGTTGGACTACAAGAATTAATTAATTCCATTAGGATGATATTTTCATTAGGATTACAAGAAAGGAAAAGAAAATTATAATGTTTTATAAATTTATATCGAAAGTAAGAAAAATTATATTTTATAAATGATATATAATTTGATATTTATTGTTTAAAACTTGCTAAAGTGAAAGAAAATGATAAATAAAGCTAACAACATAATAAAAAGCTACTATTGAAAAATTTAAAAGAAACGCAAAACAAATAATAACAATAATCTACTTTTAAATAGTTTTACAAAAAATGATTTATGATTATAGTATTTTAAAATTGAAATGGTTGCCCGAGCCGTGGGGTATTAAGTATTAACCTAGTCATAGTAACAAGTAGCCCTGGTAATATTGAGCCTATGAATAAACGGTTCCTTCCAAATGTCCGTTTTGTCCCTCACAACCAAAACGAGTTCTTTTATCTCAAAACCAAAGCTTTCTTGGTCCACAAGCTTTCAGAACCTACAGACCTATTTCTCACGAATTTACTACATGCTCTGACTCTGAAACTTGGGTTCGCGAGTAACACTTTCACTGTGAATCACCTCGTTAATAGTTATGTCAAGCTCAAAGAAATCAACACTGCACGCAAGGTGTTTGATGAAATGTGTGAACCAAATGTGGTTTCATGGACTTCGGTTATTTCTGGGTATAACGACATGGGTCAACCTCAAACTGCTCTTTCTATGTTTCAGGAGATGCATGAAGATAGATCTGTGCCTCCCAATGAGTACACGTTTGCTAGTGTCTTTAAAGCTTGTTCTGCTTTGGCTGAATCAAGAATCGGGAAAAACATCCATGCCCGTCTTGAGGTATCCGGGCTCAGAAGGAATATTGTGGTGAGTTCCTCTCTTGTTGACATGTATGGGAAATGCAACGATGTGGAAATGGCTAGACGGGTTTTTGACTCGATGATTGGTTATGGCAGAAATGTTGTTTCTTGGACCTCGATGATCACTGCTTATGCGCAGAACGCTCGTGGCCATGAAGCTATTGAGTTGTTTAGATCATTCAATGCTGATTCGACGTCGGATAGGCCGAATCAGTTTATGCTGGCTAGTGTAATTAATG